ACACACACACACACACACACACACCCTTGTTTCTGGCTGCATGTATTAGCAAAGACAAAGGAAGTTGTTGTTTTTTTTTCACGTGTTCAGCACATGATTCTCTTGCCCCCACCCCCACCCCCTCTCCAACCCCACGCGCATACACACAGCAACAACGGCAACAGCAAGGGGTGTCAGAGAATGAGGCGGAGGGGTGATGGGGGTGTGGGAAGCCGGCGGATGTGGTGGCGAGGGAAGAAGCTGCGGTGGAGCAGGTTTGCCGTGCTTTTGAGGGGTGTGCATGTGCGTGCGTCTGTGTGGAACGAGCGACGAGAAGAGTAACAACAACACGAGGGACAGGAGCAAGGAGAACCGTAATCAGCTGTTGCTGGTATTCGCTGTGGCTTGCCCCCTCACTCCTGGGGTCCCACTGTCCCTCGCTCTTTTTTCACCACTGCCTTTCTCTCTCACTGTGGGTGTGTGGGTGTGCGTTGTTGCTGTTTCGTGGGCGGGAAGGAAGGGAGGGAGGGACGGGTGATATTCATGGTGGTAGTGGTAGTGATGGTAGAAGTAGTGGTGGTGGTGGTGGCGGCACGTCTGTTGCTGCGGCGGCTGCACCATCGTCACTGGCTGCTTTTACGCTGTCCACTTTTGGGTGTAGAAATGCGTATGTCTCTCCCCGTTTATATATATATATATATGTACTCATGCACAGACGGGCACACACATACCTATGCATACATCTATAGGTGTGGGGTGCTGCATGTGTATATGGGGTTTGTACCTTTTTTAGCATCCTTTCATTGATCCCTTTCGTTCTTTCATTCATTCATTCGTTCGTTCTTCTCACTCACACGTGCACACATAAGTTGTCTGTCTGTGTGCGTGAATATATATATATATATATATATACGGGTATACTCACACAGGAATTCCTGCTGTTGTTGTTATCATCGCGGAAGCAACAACAACAACAATAGCAGCAGCAGTAGCAACAACAACAACAACAGTAGCTGCAGCAGTGGCCGTAACTCCGCGTAATTCACAACGGAAAAACACAGCCCAGGGTATTGCGGTCCATGACAGCAGCAGTGGCAGCGATTCAGCGACTCTCCAAGGAGAAGAAGAAGCTCGACGAAACGCGCGTGTGTGACTTCTACGCCGCGCCGCTCGATGACAACATCTTCGAGTGGCACTTCACGCTGCAAGGTCCTGCCGAGTCGCCGTACGCCGGCGGCCTCTACCACGGATCGCTGCAGTTCCCGCGCACCTACCCCTTTGCACCACCGGATATCGTCTTCCTCACGACGAGCGGCCGCTTTGAAGTGGGCACGCGTATCTGCTCGTCCATCAGCAGCTACCACCCCGAGCTCTGGCAGCCGACGTACGATATTGCGATGGTGCTGGTCGCGCTACGCGCGTTCATGGCGCAGGACGAGGAACTCGGTATCGGCTCGCTGATGCGGCGCTACGTGGCGCCGGAGGAGAAGCGGCGCATGGCGGCGGAAAGTCACCGTTTCTCCTGCGCGGCGTGCGGCATGCACAGCGCCCACGACGTGTGGCTGACGCAGATGCAGGGCCACCCGCCGGTATCGGCG